TAATTCAAGTGTCCACATGAACACACTCTATTTGTAAAGAAGGAGGGAGGTAAAATCTTAATTGTGTGTGTTTATGTAGATGATTTGATATACGCAAGTAATCATGAATCACTATTTCAAGAGTTCAAAACTATGATGATGAATGAGTTTGTCATGACTGACTTAGGCAAGATGAAATATTTTTTGGGCATTAGAGTGTTACAAAGATGTGATGGAATTTTTATTGGGCGAAAAAATATATATCAAAGATGTATTGGACAAATTTAACATGCTTGATTGTAATTTGGTGAAAAACCTTATTGCTCCAGGGACTAAGTTGTTGAAAATGGGTGAAGGAGCAGAAGTTAGTAGCACTTTATTCAAACAACTTGTAGGCAGTTTCACGTATTTGAATACCACAAGACCAGATATTGCACATTCGGTCAGATTGATAAGCCGCTTTATGGAGCATCCTAAAAATAATCATTTTTTGGCTGCAATATGTATTTTGAGATATTTATAAAGAACTCACACTACAACAAAAACATCAAATAGTGACCGAATTTTCGGTCACTAAATGATCAAAATCGGTCACTAACTAAAATAGTGACCGAAATAGTAACCAACCCAAATCGGTCATTATTTCCTTGGTCACTGATTTCAGTGACCGATTCAGTGACCGAATCGGTGACTCGATTTAGTGACCGATTGAGTCGAGTCATTATATCGATCACTAACAAAAACATTAAAAAATTAACAAAAACATTAAAAAATTAACAAAAACATTAAAAAATTAACAAAAACATTAAAAAATTAAAAATATTTTTTTATAACTCTCTAATCTCCCTTTTATATTCTTTTATAATATATTTTTATTATTTATTATATTTTTTAGAAATTTGAATTATTATTAGATTGAAAGAATTATTCATCGGCGTAATTCGAACCCAGTACCTTAGAGTTAGAGATCGATACTCCAACCACTTAGCTATTAGGAATTTTTTATACTAGTTTATAAATAAATTATATTTATATACAAATAAAAATATATATCCGTGTAAATATATAAATATAAAATATATAAATACAAATACAAATATATATTTATATATATATATATATATATATATATATATATATATATATATGTTGGATGTGACTCGCGCTCGAGGGTGAAAGTATGTCGAGTAGATTTTTAAAATTTGATGTCAAATTTGTGAGCGGATATCTTTATATGAGTTTATAATTTAATGACACAATATAATCTTTATAATTTATTTATATAATGATATAAAATAATTTTTTATTTATTTATTTTTATTTTATTTTAATTTATTCTTCTTATATTTTTTTCTTATATTATTTAATTAAAATTCTTATATTAAAATAATTTTTTCAATATTAAAAATAATTAAATATTTATTTTTAAAATTATTTAATTTAACAAATTATTATAAATTAATCTATGTCTGGAAAAAATAATTATTAAAAGATGATTTTGATTAATTTATAATAATATATGTTAGGAAAAAGTTGTTTTAATAATTTATAATTTATAAATTAATCAAAATCATCTTTTAATAATTATTTTTTCCAGACATAGATTAATTCATAATAATTTGTTAAATTAAATAATTTTAAAAATAAATATTTAATTATTTTTAATAATGAAAAATTATTTTAATATAAGAATTTTAATTAAATAATAGAAGAAAAAAAGATAAAAAGAATACATTAAAATAAAAATAAATAAAGAAAACAATTATTTTATATCATTATATAAATAAATTATAAAGATTATATTCTATCATTAAATTACAAATCCATATAAAGAGACTCGCTCACAAATTTGACATTAAATTTTGAAAACTCACTCGACACACACTTTCACCCTCTAGCGTGATCCTCACATCGAACATATAAGTATATAAATATATCAAAATATATAAATATATAAATATATTTGTATTTATATATTTTATATTTATATATTTTATATTTATATATTTACACGGATATATATTTATTTGTATATAAATATAATTTATTTGTAAATTTTTATTAAAAAATTCTAACAGTTTAGTTGTTGGAGTATTAATAAATTAGAGCAATTAAATTGTTGTTATGGACTAAAACCCAAAAAGTAAAAAATAAAAAATATAATTAAATAAAAGAAAAACTATATACTTTTGCATTTTTATTTTCAAATATTAGTTTTTTTATGAAATTAATTTTAATTAAAATAATTAAAGTGATATATATATATATATATATATAATTTATTTTTTTAATTTTAATTTATTAATATTATCAAATTTTAGCTTCATGATTAAAAAATACCAATAATTTAAATTTTATTAATTCTATAATTTTATATAATTATTATTATAAATTTAATTCTACAATAACTAATAATATTAACACATTTATTAAATTAAAATTCTTTATTTTAATTAATTATTTTGAATTTTTTTAACAATTTTTTTAAAATAAAAACGATAAAACTTAAAATTAATTTCTAATTAAATCTTCACAGATTTATGGTTAATAGTATATTATATTATTATGTTTAATTAAATTTTAAAATAAATTCACTTAATCTTTACACTTTTATAAAAATACTAATATAAACTTAAAATATTTATCCAATTACTAAAATATTTAAAATATTAATATAAATTTGAAATATCAATTCAATAATTAAAATAATTTTAATTTTTTTATAAATATATTGAAATACATTTTTATTAACATAAAAATAATATATATATATATATATATATATATATATATATATATATCAAAAAGAGACTAAATTAATAATTAATTTAATCATTGATTATATATATAAAAGAGATTAAATTAATAATTATTTTAATGATTGAATTAGTGACTAATTTAATAATTAATTTTAATTTTTTTATTCACATACTAAATTAAAAAATAAATTAAAATAAAATAATTATATTACTAAATTATTTAATAAGTTAATAAACTATTTTTTAAATTTTTTATAATGTTATTAAAATTTTTATCAATTATTTTAAATTATTAAGTAGATTTATATTTAATATATTATTAAAATATTTTTAAAAATTATTTATATAAATAAAAAATGGTCACTAATTTATATATTATTTGTTTAGTGACTGAAATTTTAGTCACTAAATCGAGTCACTATATATAAAAAGAGAAATCGATCATCGATTCGATTCATTATTAGTAACTGAATTTTTCGATCACTAATTTCGGTCATTTTTAACCATTTTTCTAGTAGTAACCGAATCAGTGACTGATTTTGTAACCGAATCAGTGACCGATTTCCGTGACTGAAATTTTAGTCACTAAATCAGTCACTAAATATAAAACGGAAATCAGTCACTGATTCAGTTACTATCAGTGACTGAATTTTTCGGTTACTAATTTCGGTCACTATTAACCATTTTTCTAGTAGTGTCAAAATCTGGGAATTTCTTACAAAGCTAGACAAAATGAAGAATTACTTTCTTATACGGATAGTAATTATGTAGCGGATTTTGAAAATAGAAAATACACGTCTAGTTATGTTTTCATGTTAGGAGCAAATGTGATTTCTTGAGCATAAAAAAAACAACCAATAGTCAGTTTGTCCACAACTGAAGCAGAGTTCATAACAGTTGCTCTGTGCCAGTGTGTTTGGCTTAAAAGAATTTTGGAACATTTACAACACTACCAAGAAGGAGCTATTGTACTGTTTTGTGACAATGCATCCACTATCAAGTTATCCAAAAACTCAGTCTTGCATGGAAGAAATAAACATACTGACATGAGATTTCATTTCTTAAGAGATTTATATAACGCTAGTGTTATAAAGTTAGATTATTGCAGTAAAAAAACAGCTCGTAGATATAATAACAAAATCGTTTAAGTTGATAGTTTCTGAAATTTGCGAAATGCATCTGGTGAGGCGAAGAACTAAAGATAAACTCTGTTCTTCAATAGCTCTGTTAACAAAATTCAGTTCCACTCTGTCACATTCTTATTAAATCCAAAACATAAGGTTAACGAGGGAAGATGTGCATTTGACATACCATGTTTTATGGAAATTACTCTAACACTGTGCATCCGAATGTGAAAAGACGGGGAGAGAGGATTTGTAAGGAAAATGTGAAAATTGAGGAGGAAAAAAATCAACTTTTCTCTTTCCTAAGTGCAAAGAAAAGGAAAATAAAATAATAAAGAAGCATCGAGGATTTCTCATTATATGATCAATTAAGTTTATTTTTTAAAATATTATTTTTTTTGTTTTAATTATTATAATAATAAATAATTAAATAAAAATATTTAAAAAATAAATAAATTTATTTAAATTAATAAAATAATATTTTAATTAATCAAATCAATTTTATTTTCTATAATACAACACTAGGATTGGTTATATGATGGGGGAGAAAGAAGAAGGTACATGAAAAGGAAATTGGACCTGATGATGGATTTGTTCGAAGCGGAGTTATGTTTTTTCTTACACATTAATTGTTATTTCTAATGAAAATTCATGCCACACTCCATGACATCTCACGTGGAAGCATGTAAGCTCGTACATTTGTTATAAATGCAATGAAGGTAAAAAGTTTCATTAAAAGCATATTTTTATTTTACATATATACCTAATTAAGACGAAAAATTTTATGATTATATTAACATGTCACCAAGGACTAAAAATATTTTATATTTTTTAATTTTTAATCAATTAACCAAAATTAATTTCTTAACCTACCATATATTATCAAATAGTTAGAATTTTGATCAATTTAAAGTAAGTAAAAAGAAACTATACATTTTTTTCATTTAACTAAGAACAAACTAAACAAGGTAATAACATGTGGATAGTTACAAGTAGGATCAATTTTAAAATAAGTCAAACTAAATTGTCAATTATTCTTTTTATTTAACTCATAAAAGTATATACTGGATTACAACTCAAAACTATTTTGTTATTTAATAAATTTATTATTGATAGGAAGAAACATCGTTGCATGAAATCAATATTTTTCTATGAATCTATTCATTTGATTTTGGAGTAAACGGGTTGCCGAAGACTGAGGAAAATATACGTGAAATACGTGAGATTCTTCCTTTGCCTCCACAAGTTTAACCTCTTTCACCTCTTTTTTCTTTAAAAACTCCACGTACATGACTCCCCTTTCCTTCAAAAAATCTTCACCAGCAACGTAAACTTCAGTTGGTGGAAATTTAGACCAAACATTTTCAGATAAGTCATGCTTCTCGAAGTTACAACCAAAATAGTCACGGTTTAAGCCTTCAGGTATACTTAGCCTCCAAAACATATCATTCATAGTCACATCCTCTATGCTTTCATCAACCATCTCTTTTCTTGTCCTTTTCTCACTACCAAAGTAAGGATGTATGGGCATTAATCCCTTGATTTTCAAAGGACATGCATGGTTTTGAATTGCCTTCACAGCAACATGGTGTGCAATGTTACCTCCAGCACTATCTCCAGAGAGAAACACTCGAGTAATGTCAGCTTGTTGAAGCAAAGATTCAGAACAAACTTGATCACTGAGCCATTCAAGTGAAGCGTAGCAATCTTCATAAGCAACAGGGAGGCGATGTTCTGGAGCCAAACGATAGTCAACAGAAAGGATAATGGATTGAGATGTGACAGATAAGTCACCAAGAAAGCTGTGATAGCCAAGCCATGTGGTGGATCCAATGCAAAAGCCACCACCATGGAAATAAACCAAGAGGGGAAGTTTCTCTGAGGAGGTAGGAAAGTTGGGAATGAAGATTCTTCCAGTGATAGGTTTTGATGGGTCTATGATCACATCCTTGGATTTGTATCCGTTGGTTGATTCCAAAGAGGCTGAGGCTATTTCAGGGTCAAAGCGTTTCACAGAACCATTGGAATAAACTTGAAGAAAGTTAGGTGCTTCTGCTATTAAAGACATTTTATTTGTGGATGGAACAAGTTAATAGCAAAAGGTTAAAGAAAGTTCAATTGATGACATCCAAACCTTCTATCAGAAGTGGGAATTTTATACACAAGCTAAAAGGACTAAATGTATGCGTATTTTCTCCTTATTACATATATCATACACTTTTTGTGTTTGCATTGTAGGTAGTATATTTTGTTTGTTTGGTCATGTACATTACATTGTGGTATTTGTTATCAAAAGGTTACATGCATGCTTGGTTGATTCCAATATGGAAAAATAATAATAATAATAATAATAATAATAATTGACATTCAACATATAGGTTATCTTCGTATTTTAGGAAATTGCATGGTTGATCGGTTGTTATTGCTTTAAATATAAAAATTAACATTGATTTTGAATGTCTTTATAACAAATAATTGACTCAATAATGCGCTAGGTTAATCCATGCACCATTTTTCTTTTTTAATTCTACTTATAAAAATAAAAGTTTAAGAAAAAATATATTTTTAAAAAATATAGATAAGACTAAAACATGTTAAGAAATTCAGTCAAATAAATCAGGTAAGAAATAATCAAATCAAGTAATTATGATCAATAAGATCAAATTAAGTCAAATTGAATTGACTTTCATTATATTAAATTGGATTGTTTCAATATAAGTTATTTGGTTTAAGTCAAACTAAATTGACTCGAGTTAAATTAGAATACATTTAAATTGAGACGGTGAAATCAACAATAGAAGATTAGTTATTAGATTAAGTTAATCTTATCTAGATCAAACTAAATGAATTATATTAAGCAATTAAATTGAATTTATCTATGTGGATCTCACTAGACATGGATACCAACATGTACGTATGACAATATTATAAATATGAATTTAATGGATAACATATTATTTAAATAATTTATTTTTATTAAATTTAAAACAATAAACGAAATATTTTATTTCATTTTTATTAAATATTTTGTAAATATTTAAAAAACAAGGAATAAAAAATAAAAATATAATATTGTCATAAGATTTATGAAATAAAAAATAAAATAGAAAATATTAATGAAATATTTATTTTATAAAAATGAGTTACATGAAAGTTTGAGAGAGAATCAACTTATTTTTATTATTACAAATTATAATTATTGTTACATTATTTTTTTAATAACAAAAACAAATTTAAATAAAGACTCATAAAAAATAAAATAAAAAGTTACCTTAAACAATACTTAAGAACAAAAAATAAAGGATAAAATTATAAAATAATAAAAAAGCAAACGATACAATAAGTCCATTGAAAATAGTGAAATAATTTTTTTTTTAAATCATGAAATACAATGAGATACACTACTACAAGAAATCCTCTTGAATTATTTCTTTTAAAAACTTACAATCTTATTTTCACCCTTTTCAGCCTATTTAACATGATTAATCAGTAGCCAGTAATTTAAAAAATTATATTGAAATTTGTTTTTGTGAGAACAAAGTCCCACATCTGTGGGTACTTCAAAGGGGGTATGGGTGAGTGGTTATATAAGAAACCACATACCCCCCATTCTATACATCCCAAAAAATTCCTTTCCTTCTCTAGTATTAGAAAGTGTTGTCATTCTTAGGACTAGAGAAAGGGTGTGTAATTTTTCCTTGCTATTATAAAATTTCTACTTTTGTCCATTATTGCTATTCCATTTTTCTCTTCTCTATTTTAGTTGAGTTCTTGTGCTAGTCTGATACCTAACAGTGGTATCAGAGCCACGTTCTTATTCCGTTGCGCTAGTCACTAGAATAGTGTTGGTAAAATTCTGAGTATGCTCTGTGGTTGCGGTTTAATCTAATCTTCCACATTAGAAAAGAATTGTTACTGGAAAAGGTGTAGTAGTGTGAAACTGTTGTCTGGGGAAGTTCTGGCTAGGAAAGACTTGGTACTTAAGTGTGTCCATTAGTGACTCACCTCTCTTTCCTGGGAACTTACCTAGTGTACTGGTTCACGGTCTACTACTATTGTTCCAGTAGACAATACTATTCATAAGTGAGAGTTGCATAAGTGGAAACACAACTATGGCAAGCAAAGTATGAGATAGAGAAGTTCAACTGGAACAATTTCTCGTTATGGAAATTGAAGATGAAGGCAATTTTGAGAAAGGACAATTGCCTTGATGCAATTGAAGGAAGACCCGCAGAAATGACGGATCAGAAGTGGAAGGAAATTGACGGAAATGCTATAGCAAATTTGCATTTAGCAATGGCAGATTCCGTACTATCCAGTGTTGCGGAAAAGAATACAGCAAAGGAGATTTGGGATGCCCTCATCAAATTATATGAGGTGAAGTCTCTTCACACAAGGATATTCTTGAAGCGGAAACTCTACACTCTTCGGATGAGTGAGTCCACTTCGATGACTGGACCACATTAATCATCTCGAACACCTTATTTGCCCAACTATCAGCAGCAGATTTCAACATAGTTGAAAATGAACGTGCTGAACTTCTACTTCGAGTCTACCAGACTCATACGATCAACTCATCATCAACATAACAAATACTAATATGGAAGGAAATCTACGCTTTGAGGATGTTGCCTGAGCTACTCTAGAAGAAGAATCCAGACGCAAGAATAAAGTAGATAGATTGGAAAATTCCAAGCAAGCAGAGGCTTTGACGATGATGAGAGGAAGATCAACGTAGCGTGGCTCCAAGTGGGAGTCAAAACCATGGTAGATCAAAATCTCGAGGAAGGAAGAATTTCAAATGCTACTATTGTGGCATGAGAGGGCACTTGAAGAAAGATTGTTGGAAGAAGAAAAATGCGAGAGAAGTCTTCCGAGGCAACTACATCTCAAGGATGTGTTGCCAGTACCTCTGATGATGGAGAAATCCTGTATAGCGAAGCAGCTATTGGTTCCAAAGGTGAAAAACAGCTCACTGATGTTTGGATAATAGATTCAGGAGCAACATGGCACATGACTTCACGAAGAGATTGGTTTTGCACTTATAAACCTATCTTAGAGGGATCTGTGTTCATGGGTAATGATCACGCCTTGGAAATTGCTTGGAATCTAGACTCGTCAAATTGAAGATGTACAATGGGACTATTCGTACAATTCAAGGGGTACGACATGTGAAGGGTTTGAGAAAGAATTTATTGTCTATTGGACAATTGGATGACCTCTGCTGCAAGACCCATATTGAAGGTGGGATCTTAAAAGTAGTGAAAGGTGCTCTAGTAGTGATGAAAGCAGAGAAGTTTGCTGCAAACCTATACATGCTTCTGGGAGATACGTTGCAAGAGGCAGATGTATCAGTTGCATCGAGCTAGTCAAGAGGAATCAACGACAATGTGGCATCGCAGACTAGGCCATATGTCGAACGAGGCTTGAAGGTCCTTGCGGAACGTAAACTCTTACCCGGCTCACATCGGTAAACTTACCTTTCGTGAGCACCGTGTGACAAGCAAACAACATAGATTGAAATTTGAAAAGTCAACTACTAGAAGCAAACACATACTTGACTTGATACATTCTGATGTGTGGGAGTCACCGGAAATGTCCCTAGGAGGAGCTAAATATTTTGTATCATTTATTGATGATTACTCTAGGAGATTGTGGGTGTACCCAATCAAGAAAAAGTCAGATGTGTTTCCAGTTTTCAAGGAATTCAAAGCACAAGTGGAGCTTGAAACTGGAAAGAAGATCAAGTGCTTAAGGACAGACAATGGAGGAGAATATACAGATGGTGAGTTTCTGGCATTCTGCAAGCAGGGAGGGTATAAGGAGACAGTTCACTGTTGCTCATACACCTCAAGAAATGGTGTAGCAGAGCGGATGAATAGAACTCTCCTAGAGAGGACTAGAGCTATCTTGCGAACAAGCAAGATTAGCCAAGTCTTTTTGGGCGTAAGCAGTGAAGACAGACTTGTTACGTGATAAATCGATCTCCATCAACTGTGATTGGTTTAAAGACACCTATGGAAATGTGGAAAGGAAAGCCAGCAGAGTACTCTTCTCTACATGTGTTTGGATGTCCTGTGTACGTAATGTACAACTCCCAAGAAAGAACAAAGTTGGATCCAAAATCCAGAAAATGCATATTCTTGGGCTATGCTGACGGAGTTAAGGGGTATCGCCTGTGGGATCCCACTGCCCGCAAGGTTATTGTCAGCAGAGACGTAATTTTTGCAGAGAATGAACTGCAAAATGAACAAGTAAATGACAGCACTTCTAAAGATGTAACTACTGTACAAATAGATGGAAAGTCTGGAGAAGAAGATTCTTTAGAAGCAGAACCAGAGCATGAGGAGCAAGAACCAGAAGAGGCCAATGACACAGAAGTTCGACGAATAACACGTCAGATAAGGAGACCATCTTGGCACTCAGACTATGTAATGGCAAGTCATGATGCATATTGTCTTCTAACAGAAGAGGGAGAACCGTCAACCTTTCAGGAGGCTGTGAGTAGTTCAGATGCTTCTCTGTGGATGACAGCAATGCAAGAAGAAATAGAAGCCTTACACAAAAACAAGACATGGGAGCTTGTTGCACTTCCACAAGGTCGAAAAGCCATCGGCAACAAATGGGTTTATAAGATCAAACGTGATGGTAATGATCAAGTGGAACGATATCGTGCAAGACTGGTAGTAAAAGGGTATGCTCAAAAGGAAGGCATTGATTTCAATGAGATATTCTCTCCAGTGGTTAGACTTACCACTATCAGAGTAGTGTTGGCTATGTGTGCTGCATTTGACTTACATCTTGAACAATTGGATGTAAAGACTGCTTTTCTTCATGGAGAACTTGAAGAAGAAATTTATATGCTCCAACCAGAAGGCTTTGAAGAACAAGGAAAAGAAAACTTGGTTTGTAGGTTGACCAAATCTTTGTACGGTTTAAAGCAGGCGCCAAGGTGTTGGTACAAGAGATTTGATTCCTTCATTATTAGCCTCAGATACAACAGACTGAGTTCAGACCATTGTACGTATTACAAGAGGTTTGATGATAATGATTTCATCATTTTGTTGTTGTATGTGGATGACATGTTGGTGGTAGGCCCCAACAAAGATCGAGTCCAAGAATTGAAGGCACAGTTGGCTAGGGAATTTGATATGAAGGACTTGGGACTCGCAAACAAGATTTTAGGGATGCAAATTCACCGAGACAAAAAGGATAGGAAGATTTGGCTCTCTCAAAAGAATTATCTTAAGAAAATCTTGCGGCGCTTCAACATGCAAGATTGTAAGCCAATCTCTACCCCATTGCCTATCAATTACAAATTATCCTCAAATATGTGTCCTAGCAATGAAGCAGAAAGGATGGAAATGTCTCGAGTGCCGTATGCATCGACGGTGGGAAGTCTTATGTATGCTATGATTTGTACGAGACCAGATATTGCACAAGCAGTTGGGACGGTTAGTCGATTTATGGCAAATCCTGGTAGAGAGCACTGGAATGCTGTGAAAAGAATCCTAAGATACATTAAAGGAACCTCTAATGTTGCATTATGTTTTGAAGGATCAGAGTTTATTGTCAGAGGATATGTTGATTCAGATTTTGCAGGTGATCTTGATAAAAGAAAATCTACTACAGGATATGTGTTTACACTTGCAAGTGGAGCGGTAAGTTGGCTATCTAAACTGCAGACTGTTGTAGCCTTATCTACTACAGAGGCGGAGTACATGGCAGCTACCCAGGCATGCAAGGAAGCAATTTGGATTCAAAGGTTATTGGGAGAACTCGGACACAAGCAACAGAAGATCAATGTGTATTGTGACAGTCAGAGTGCCTTGCACATTGCAAGGAATCCAGCTTTTCATTCCAGAACAAAACACATAGGAGTACAATATCATTTTGTCAGAGAAGTAGTAGAGGAAGGGAGTGTGGATATGCAGAAGATTCATACCAAAGATAACCTAGCAGATGCCTTGACAAAACCAGTAAATGCTGACAAGTTTATACTAAGTCGATCCTGTTATGGCCTATTGAAAGCATAAGCAACATAGATGGAAAAGATAATCATGGTGTGAAGATTTGATTAATTTCATCAAAATCTTCAAGTGGGAGATTGTGAGAACAAAGTCCCACATCTGTGGGTACTTCAAAGGGGGTATGGGTGAGTGGTTATATAAGAAACCACATACCCCCCATTCTATACATCCCAAAAAATTCCTTTCCTTCTCTAGTATTAGAAAGTGTTGTCATTCTTAGGACTAGAGAAAGGGTGTGTAATTTTTCCTTGCTATTATAAAATTTCTACTTTTGTCCATTATTGCTATTCCATTTTTCTCTTCTCTATTTTAGTTGAGTTCTTGTGCTAGTCTGATACCTAACAGTTTTCCACCAAGCCACGGCTTCCAATAAATGGTAGGAGTTGACTCTTACATAAAAGCTACCATTTGTTGTTTATTTTTGTACTTGTCTTTTAAATGCAAAACTCAATATAAAATTTGCCCCATTCCATCGGAAAACATTTATGATTGGCAACGGTTTGTATCATAACTGTCCCATTATGTCAATTTCTTCTTTATGGTATCGCAGACTTGCAGATCCTAAAATCTACACCACATGACTTTCATACAAAGAAAACCCAAGCATTACATTTTTAATTCGTGTTAAATGGAATCTGCTATGTCATCTTCATATATAGTTTTATATATATATATATATATATATATATATATATATATATATGTACTATTATTTTCTTTTTGTCATATATTGTGATATTTGGATAGATTTGTTAATGAAGTTGTGATTGAGTAATGATAATATTGATATAAAATGTTAAATCAGCCATTAATTTTGATTATAAAATTTGGCTGTTCAAGGTTATATCTCTAATTAAAATAATACATAATATAATATTATCATTAAGGTGAATTTTCACTTATTTGTCTATTTTAAATCTTATCTATGTGAATTGAACCGGTATATTATTATTCCCTGTGCTTGCAAAACAATGAGACTTTGTCTCCACAATGTTGGCCAGATTTAAAAACATTTTGAAAATGAGAGCTTACAATGTGATCAAAGTGAAATTCACAATACGGATTTAGAAAATATCTATATAATTAAAAATATATTTTTAAATATATAAATAAAAAATAATATTTTTTAATATATTATTTAACTTTCTAATTATTATTCAACGGAAGACTTAAATTCACAATTAAATTTTTTAAATTTCTTACAATGATCTATAAATAAGATCCATAATTTATATTAACTAATTCGGATTAGTACGGCTCATCTATATTAAATTTTTTACCTTCAACATTTTTTTCTTCTTAAAATAATACCTTTAAATTTTTGCATGTATGCTAAATTGTTAATTTTTTTGTCAAAACGTGTCTATATATGAAAGTATATTAAAACAAAATTAAAATAGACAGAGATTGATTAAATTGCTCTGTATGATTTATCCACATATGGTATCCCAATATAGTGCATACGGCATTAACATCACGGAGCAATACGAGATTATCAATAACCATCTTACACAAGCCAATAAAAGCAAATGATAAAGATATATAGAAGAAAATGGACATGCTGCTATATATATTTCAATAACTATGACACCAAAGGTTCCTTTCTTCTTCTTTTTTCCAAATCCTAAAGGTGAAGTAATTCATTAATTAATTGAACCACATGGATAATTCCAATTAAGAAGTTCATCGATCATCTGCATGGCAATTCTATCTTCTTCATCATCACCATCAATACCACTTTTCTGAGGTGACCCTTCTGAAACACTTGATTCACCCTCTCCATGTTTCTTCCCAAGCTCCACCCTCACGATCCAATTAGAGTCTGAACGTGGTCCTGCACCCTTTTGCCACACTCCAATGTGGGAATTGTCAGCATCTAGCCTGAGACATGTGAGGGATGGAGAAGGGTCTTTGCAGCACTTCTTCAGCTTTCTACTCAGGTGCTCAGAAAGAACATTGGGAGATGAGAAGGGGTCTTCACAAGGAGTGGAAGTGGTGGCACCTTGAGGCTGATTCAGTGTTGGTGCAGGGAAATTGGTCTTGGCATTTTGACCACTCATCAAAATGGCTGCTTGGTCATATGCCCTTGCTGCAGCCTCTGCTGTCTCAAATGTCCCTAGCCACACCCTTCTCTTCCTGTCCGAGTTAATATAAACTTTGGTTAACCTGAAATTTATTTGATACTGAAAATATTGCATATGTCTAATGTAGTTTTTACTAAAAGAACTTTTTTATATATATCAATTAATAGGTATATTTGGATAAATAAATTAGTTTTTTTTTATGAACTAAAATTAACTTATGTACAAATACATTTGTTAAAGCTCAATACAACCTTTTTCTAAAACTAGATTCTATTTATTCAGTACATAAGTTAGTTTTAATTTATATATATATATATATATATATATATATATATATATATATATATATATATATATATATATACTCATAGCTTTTGGAAATTTGTTGGAAAGTAAAAATCATGACTGAGAAGTAGAAGCTACAACTATCAGTTTCTCATTAAAGTTGAAAAGAAGCACTTCTGAGATATGTAACCAAACACAAAAAACAAATTCATTTCCTGAAAAGGAGAAAACTAACAATAAAATCTGTGAGAGAGAGATTATTATGAAAATAGAAAGCTTTACTCCATAGTTTCCATGAGCTTAAACTTGAAAGAATAAACTATGGTGTATGTGAGGATGTAATTACAGTAAAGGGTGACGAATTTCAGACACCCATGAACCCCATTGGCGTTGCCTTACTCCTCTGAACTTCCTTCCTTGCACCATGGCTTCTGTGGTGTGAGTACTTTGCGTGTGGAATGAAGAGAACCCAAGTACGAGGTAGTTAAGATGGTGCAGGAAATTAATATGAGGTGGAGATAACACAAATGACAAATGTGGAAGAGTTGGTGCGAGTTTGTGAGATTTATATAGATTGTCGGTGGATTGATAGGAAACTGAGAGCTGATATGCTGTACACATAATTACGCACTCCATTCAATAGCAGATATATGGTCCACATGCTGAATGCATAAACTTTCAAGTGTTTTAGGTTTTTTTACAAGAGTAAATACTGATAATCTTTTATGCATTTTGAAGATATCCATTAAAAGTTTCACCTGCAACGTCTGGATAAGTCCCTGACTTTTGAACAACTTAAATAAATGAGCAACCCTGGCAAGGCTCCTTTGTAGCCTGCCTTGCTAGGGTCTTCGCGCGGTTCCATTTTAATCCAACATAAAATATAAACATGTATTACTTTAGAAGCTAATTTTGAATGAATAATTATTTTTATTTTCATTTACATATATGTTTTTATCTTTATCGAAGATTAATTTTTAAAATATTTTCTTAATTTAAAATTTCAGTATAATTGATTTAACAACTATATTCCAACTTTTCTCAATAATCTAAACAATCTTTCTTTCTTTTTTCTGTATATGATTTCCATAACACTTATCTCTTTAATCTATCATTTCATATTTACTTTTGAATTATATGTCAATCATTTTTAAAAAAACTAACAATAATTAAAAACAACTTTATATTACAATATTAAATATTTATCTTAAATCCAAAAAATATATATGTTCGAAAATAATGTTTATAATGAATTTTAGTTATATTATATATACACTATAATGTTATAAAGTTAGTTATAGAATAAGCATTATATATGCTACGGAAACTATCGCCTATGCTTACACTTTTATTATGTTTTTATTTTATTAAAATTCTATATATATATATATATATATATATATTTTAAAATATAAACATTTATTTTTGAAATTATAAATTGTTTAAGATAAATAAATGTAAAACATGATTTTAAAAAAGAGAAATAAAGAAAACAAGTAATTAAGAGAATATGAAAAAATTTCATTTTTTTTATTTTTATTTACTATTTTGTATTTAAGAGAAAAAATTGAGGAATATTAAAATAAATAAAGGAAAAAAATATAAATATAAATTATATTTTTCTTTTTCCTATTAATCAGAATATAATTACAAAATAAATTTATTTTTTATACATAGTTATATATATATATATATATATATATATATAATTATAAATAAATAACGTTTATGGCCCTAATTAAATAAACAAGTTTGAGTAATGCAAGGTGAAGAATTCAACTTCCCATGCATAATTTTTGTTTTCCAGCTTTTGTGGGTGGATTTAATGATGTTGGCGAGAGTAAGTTGACTTTACTTCTTCAATTTCAACCATCTCGTGACCCTATTATCACACCTAACAGTGTAAAAAGAAGGACAATTTATTTATTTAATTATTATTAAAAAAGTTTATTACATAATTTATAATTATTATTTTTTTATAATTTACTTTTTAGATTAAAAAGTTTACAATTTTCAATTTTATTTTACTAATCATAGTATAAAATATTTATTAACTTTAAAAACTTAATAGAAAATTGGGTGATTTCTTTCAGTTATATATATATATATTCATCCATTTTTTCTTATGGACATTTTGATCTAATCTTCAATTGGGTATAGTAATCATTTTAATTTTTATGTATTTATAATTTTTTAAAAACTGGACCGATAAAAATAAGAGTTAGTAACTCAACCGAATTTAATAAAAGATTTAATAAAATAATATTTTTATAATATAATAAATATATAATAAATTTATTCGTATTAATATTAAAAATAAAAAATAAAAAATATTATGAAATATAATAAAAATTATAGATATAAAATATAATAAAGATGATAAGATGAATAATTATTAAAAAAAATAAAAATAATTATTATTTAAAATTAATGTAACTAATATAAGATTAAAAGAAATTAAAATATATTATATTTTATAAAAAAATTATATTGAAAAATTTTGATTTTAATTTTTTATTATCGATTTTTTTAATGTTACTAATTTTATTTTAATTTAATTAAAATCTGATTATTTGAAAATAACATGTTTATTAGAAAATAACGTGCTTAAAATCTGATTATTAGAAAATAACGTACTTAAAATCTGATTATTTAAAAATAACGTACTTAAAATTTGATTATTTAAAAATAACATACTTAAAATCTGATTATTTTAAAAATAACATACTTAAAATCTGATTATTTTAAAAATACCAGTCTTCTCGATTTAACTTATTAAATTGGTCCGTCTAATTTCATTTTAAAAAAATAATTTTTACCTCTTTCCTCTAATTTATTTTTTTCTTTAACCTGATATATGTATAACAAAAATAAGATTCATGATGACAATAGAGTAATAAATTATATGTAAATAATGTATTTATATAGAAAAATTATTCATATTTTACTGGGTCAATGGATAGTCAATGTTAATATCATGAGTGTCTTATGATAAATTCGAATTCGATGACTTGAGGTATACTCAACCAAAAGTTTGACCCCATTACAATTCTTGGAGTATTTGGCCTATACATAACATTTTAATTAATTAAATTGTTTTCTAATGATATTTTAAAAATAAATAAATAATTGAGGATTAGACTCAAATTGCGATTTTTATAAAATCCAGTGAACTAATGTAATAAAAAGAAAAATAAGAAATATGAATCATAAATTAAAAATTAAAAATGAATCAAATTTGCAATTTAACTGTACAAAATATTAGAAAAGTATGATTTTTTTTTTTTATCTCGTGAACATCATTATACTATTTTGGTATTTGATTTGCATAACCTCAGGAGCACAGGTGTCCATGGTTGGAGCTTCTGGTATTTTCCAATTTGTTGTTGGGAGAGGGACGAAATAGTGGACTTTCAATTTTCAATGGGTGGCTTTAATTTTGTTGTTTTTGTTTTTATGTACAGAACAAACCATGCATAATTAATGTTTTGACAAATTCTCTCATACTCAACCACCTACCTTTACTCGTCTATCTCAATCAACTCAAGTCAAATGATATAAGGGGAACCTAGAATTTCAGAAGAGATGAACAACCTATAAAAATTATTTATTATATAAAATATTTAAAAAATATGATTAATTAAATTTAAAATTTAAATTTAAATTTATTATCATTTATCATTTTTTTAAATAGTCTATAATTTGTTTTATATTTTTAAAATTTAAATTGACTTTTTTATATTTAACATTATAATAGAGAATCATCATTAAAATAACTAGTTAATTTATAACCAATAAAAAAATTATATTAATATTTTATATTTTTATAAAACATTACATGTATTAATTTATTATATTAAAAAAATAAAATTATCTTTTTTTTTTAAGATTATGGAGTATTTTTATTATTTTTTAATTTTTTACCTTATCTCTTTAATGTAAACTGAAAAATAAAAAATAAAACGTTGCCATTTTTATGCTATAACTATAAAAGTAAAATTTAAAAATTAAAGAAAAAATTATAAATTTTATGATGTAAGGAAGAATTATGAAAGAGAAATATGTAAAGGTGAATGAGTAGTGAATAAAAATATAAAAAATTAAAGTGAGTATCTGATAAAAAATTTAAAGTTAGAATGTAAAAAAAGGTAAGAGAAAAAATATAAAAATATACGAGTAAAAAATTAAATATAATATTTATTATAAATTTAAATTAAAAATATATTTATACATTTATTTTTTTTAAGATAATTATTATTTTAAAAAAATATTAATTTTTATTCGAGCCGTGCCCACGCCACTTAAATCCGCCTCTGCATTTTATTCCATTTTTTAATTATGTTACTAAGTTCGAAGAAACCATTATATTATAAGATTATAAGAATGAAAAATGCTAAGTTTTTTAATCTACTAAGAATATATATATATATATATATATATATATATATATATATATATAATTAAAATTCAGTATTTATATATATTATTTTTAGTGAGATGAAGATGATCTACAAAATATTCATCAAATTACACCAAGATATGAAGTTGATTGTTATTGGAATCAAATTGAAAGAGGATTCCTAAAAAGTGTAAAAAAATCCACTTACAAAAGGTACTCCAATGTTCAAGTCAAGTTTAAACAAGATATTGATGTATATATAATAAATTATGAGGTTACGATTTTCTGGTAACAAGACATGAAGTCGATTGTTATTTGAATCAGATTTGAAGACGATCCTAGAAAGTATAAAGAGATCTACTTACAAAAGCTACTCCAACACATTCAAGTCAAATTTAAATAAAAGATTGATGTATATATAATAAATTATGAGGTTACTGCTTCCTGATTATATAATGATTAAGATATAATAACTAATAATCCAAAAAATAATAACTGAATAAAATATAAGATATTGTAAAAAAATAAAAATAATTAATAATAAAATAAATAAAAATAATTTTTTAATAGATTTAAATAAATAAATACGATTAACTATTTCAATAGTTTTAAATATATATATAAAATAATATATTATTAATAAATAATAAAAAAAATAAAATTATAAATATATAAATAAATATATTAAATAATGATTATATTTGGGTAGTAAAAATTATAAATTATATAAAAATTAGATTTTATGTCCCCTCCATTCTTACTAACATCTGAATGGAGATCTAGTAAAAATAATGCTAAAATAGATTAAAGTTTGAACATTTTCAAAAATTCCTTCCATGTCCATTTTTCTTCCTCGAGCCAATAACAATATCAAATTTTGCAGATTTTGGCAGATTTCAAATTACTCAGTTTTAGATAACCAAACTAGTCTCAAATACAAATTAAACATGAATTATATCTAATTTAAGTTGAAAATAACAATTTTACCATATAATTCATCCTTAATTTTAAGAATTTAAAAAAACTT